TATCCGCCAGCTGGCGCACCAGCTGCCGCCCCTCCTCGTTGTGAAGGTCAATCGTCATGCAGCGCCGGTTGCGGCCCTGCAGCGGCCTCGTGCAAAGCGCAGCGGGCACCGTTCTGGGGCGGGCACGGGCACCCCCACTGCACAATTGCAAAGCACCATCGGCCCTGCCCGCTCGGCCACCTGCCGGCCCATGCTGCATCCAGCCATCGACTCACGTAGGAGCGCCACCAGAGGGAGGTGCCGCCGGCGTCTGCCATGCGCAGGTGGCGCAGCGCGTCGCCGCGGCCGGGCGGCTCCACTTTGATCACGTCTGCTCCGAAGTACGCCAGCAGGCCTCCGCAAAAGTTGCCGGCCACCACCTGTCCCAGGTCCAGCACCTGCCACAGGGAGGAGCAGAATAGAGGTGGAGGGGAGCAGGAAGGTGCGGAGTGCAAGGTGTCCGCTCGGCCGCCGGCGGGGCAGGCGGGCGACTGCAAGGAGGCGGCACGGCGGCATGCAGCTGATTGCCATTGTGCTGCAATGACAGCATAGAGTAGGGCAGCATGCAGCAAGCCAGGAGCGCAAGCCAACGGCGAAAGCCAAGGCTGTCTCTCTCACTTTTAGCCCGACAAGCGGCCCGCTAGGTGGCAGCAGCTCCGCAGCTGCCGACTGCTGCTGCGTAGAGTAACCCGCCCATTGCGGCTTGCTGACTAGGGGCAGCAGCGGCGAGCAGGCTGCGCCTAGCCGGCCCAGCAGCAAGGGAGCGCTTCGCTGCCGGAGGGAGATGGCGAGCATGGTGGCCAAGCCGAGCTCCGGTGCCTCCCAAAGACGCAAACGTATCCCCCAACCGCGGTGCAATGCCCCGAACGAGATGGCATCAGCAATCGTGGCATGTGTGTTGGCCTTTTCCATCCCCCGAGACGAGCTCCTGGCGAGATTGCCCCTGTCCACACTGCTTTCTCACACAATGTTTTGATCAGAGTCTGCCGGTAGCGCCCTGGGCAGCACACAAGCGATGTCGCAAATCGCACGCTCGCTGCTTTCGCTGCCGCGCTGAGCTGAAACGGACAGTCGAGCAGCGTCTTGATAGCCTGGCAAGATCACCAAACCGCCAGCTGACGCGGGCACCCGCGGGCCGCACGGGGCGGTGGCGGGCGGTGGCAGCGTAGCGGCGGCGGCACTCTGCTGGCATGGCGTACTACACACGCAGCCGGGCCTTGTCGCTGGCAGAGCACAAGGCGGCTGGGGTGCTGCCCTTCAGCATCCACGAGGGTGCCGTCCTCGTGCTGCTCGGCGCTGAGCCCTGCAAGACGGGCCCGGGCGGCAAGGTGCGTGCCAGCTGGCTCCACGCCTTTTATCAGGCGCCTCTGCTCCCTGCATGCACCGTGCGTCACACCACGCTGCGCCGCCGGTGCCGCCGCCGCAGGTGTGGCGCACCATGTGGCGAGACTTTGGCGGCGGCCGGGAGGCTGCCGATGCCGACAGCGCGGCCACCGCGGCCCGCGAGTTTGCGGAGGAGACGCTGGGCCTGTTTGGGACGTGCGCCGTCAACCAGGCGGGCGTGCTGGCGGCGGCCGCAGCCATGGAGGCCCAGCTGAGGGACAGCAGCCAGGCCATCAAGGTCGGTGGGCGTGTGGTGGTGGGCGGGGGTGGTTGGGGGGGGGTGGCTGGAGGCTGACGCTGCCGATCCAATCAGCAGGGCTAGTATGCGCCACGCGTGCGTGCCACCTGCTCTCCACAGCGCCGCTGGTCTGCTGCTGGCCTTCCCACCGCGCCCAAGCGCCCCCCATATACCCGCCCGTCCACGTCACACACACAACACACCCGTTCCTGTGCCGCGCCTTTCTTGCCCGCAGGTTGTGCACGCGCTGCGCAAGGGCGCCTATCACTTCTACTGCACCCAGACGCCCTGGGTGGCGCCCCTCATGTTCCGCCTGGCCAGCCAGCAGAACGCCGCCACGTGTGCGGTGGCGGGCGCCGAGAAGTCGGCGTTCGCCTGGTGAGCCAGCCAGCACTGGGCTGCGGTGGGCTGCCACCCAGCCACACAAACACAGTGTCGACACACTTTATGCACTCCATCAACGCCGTCACACAACCTCCCTGTCCCGCTCCCTGCAGGGTTCCCATGACGGAACTGCTGGAGTGTGTGGCGGTGGCGGCGCCCCGATACTTTCTAGAGACGCGCGCGCACGTGTGTGGCGGGCCCGGCACGCCGCCGGCCGCCAGGTGTGGCCGCAGGCGGTTCCAGGTGGGCTGGTGGAAAGGGGGCTCCGTTTGTTTTATAAGGACTTGGTGGCGCCCTCTTACACCCTCCCTTGCCCGTCCCGCCACATGACTTGCAGCTGCATCCCTGCTTCGCCAATAGCCTGCGCATGGCTCAGAAGTGTGGCCTGGATGGGCTGATGGCACACGCACACGAGCTGCCGCTGCCGCCACCGCCGCCGCTGCCACTGCCGCTGGTGGTGCCCGTTGCCGGGCCTGCAGCATCGGAGGCAGGGGCTGCAGGGTCAGCCCAGGCTGCTGCTTCCTCAGCGGCAGCAGCGCCAGCAGAGCTAGTGGCAGACTCGCCAGCTGGGGAGATGGGGGAGGAGGAAGGGCTGCACCAGGCTGGGAGTGACGCCCTGCAGGGCACTCTAGCCTACTGGCTGGGGCAGGAAGACATTGGGGTGGCCCTGCGAGGCAGCACCCCCGCAGCTGGCGATGCAGCTGGCGATGCGGACCTGCCCTCTGGCATCTGGCTGCCACCGTCTCAGCAGCAGCAGCAGCAGGTGCACGGGGCGCAAGGCAGGGGCAGGCGCCAGCAGCGCTCGTCGCTCACCGCGGCAGCAGGCGCAGGGCAATGCGGCAGTGTGTCGGTGTCGCCACGTGTAGCCGCACTGCCAGCAGCCAGCGGCAGCAGCCTGGGCCGCGCCAGCAGCGTGGACACAGCCAGCAGTCTGCGGCAGCACCGCGAGGCAGTGGCGGCAGCAGCGGTGGAGCAGGTGGTGCACCAGATCGAGCAGAACAGCCACCTGCGGCAGCGGCCCAGCCGCAAGCAGCGCCAGAAGCTGCGGCGGCAGCGGCTGCGCGCCGAGGAGGCAGCTGTTGCGGCTGCGGCGGCTGCCGATGCTGCGGTCGCTGGCGCTCCCGAAAGCCCGCCTCCCCCTCCGCCTCCTCCTCGGCAGCAGCAGCAGGAGGCAGGAGCACCGACAGCGGGCTGCACCTCCCCTGCTGCTTCGGTCCCGCCTCACTGGGCGCGCGCCATGCGCGAGCTGGAAGCTACTTTCCAGCCGCACGTGCGGGCGCACAAGCGGCTGCGCATTGTGGTGGGATAGCAAAAAAACATGAGGACTTGCCCAGTTCTGCCCTGTATTCCGCTTGTGTATGTACCATTACATGCCTCTCCTAGCTCCAATTTTGTGCGTGCTCCGCCCATCCTCACAGTGTTACCGTCGATCATGTGTCGAACGTTGCGAATGCACTGCCCTTTCTCTGACCAATTTTGGACAAGCCTCGACTTGTAAACTGCACGGAGCTGCCCATTTTGAATTCTGAAGCGCTGGTTCGATCTTTCCACCCAAGAAGGAAGAAAGCAGGGCAGGGCTGGATTGAATCAATGAATGGCTCTAGCCCCAGTACTCCGCAGTCTAGATTAGGCGACAATGAAGTTCTCAGCAAGGAGAGCAGCCTCAGGGCGCCACTACGCCCTGTTTTGGAGCGCCGTGGCGCTGTTCTGTGTTGTCTTGCTCAGCCTCTTCTCAGCACGGCCCCAGGCGAGCAAGCATGGCCAGCAGATGCACGAGCAACAGGAGGCGTGATGCACAGGCCTGTGTCCTGAGTTTAAATCGCTGCCTGGCTGTAGGACACCTCACTCGCTGGAGTTGCACATTATCAAGGCTGGAAGCCAGGCAGCGTGGTGTTTGTTTCCTTGGCCGACTCACGATATGGCGCCTACATCCTCAACGCCGCCGCCGCCCTCCGGCCGTTCTCCCATCACCTGCTCATTGTTTGCATGGATGCTGAGTGCATGCAGCTGTGCCGCAAGCACAAGATCGCCGCATATGGAGAGGTGAGCAGAGGATGGGGAGGGGCAGGCGGGGCCCCGGGCAGCGGGGAGATGAGCAGGCACCCCCCTGGCGGCGCTGCCTGCCTTCGCCCAAGGCCCTTGCCCCCACCTTCCCGCAGGGCATTGGCCAGAGCGTGGGGCGGCTGAAGTTTGGCTCAGTGAGGGAGCTGCTGGAGGCTGGCTACCATGCTCTGCTGTTTGACCTGGACCTCGCCATTCTCCAGGACCCGTTCGCCTCCATGCTGCCCCCAAGGTGAGCGCCTCTACTGGCCAGCCGCTGGGTTTGTGTGTTTAGGGAGGCAGTGGTGCTTCCCTCCCGAACCTCCCTTCATTGCTCTGCTGTGCAGTAACAGCAGCTGGGATGTTCAGGTGCAGCGGGATGTTAATGAGATGGTCAACATCGGCTGGGTGCTGTCCAGGAGCAGCCAGGGCGTGATACGGCTGTGGCGCGAGGTGGAGGCCAGTTACGCGCAGAGCGGGATGGACGCGGGGGGTGGGGATGACAACGCGTATCAGGGGCAGGTGAGACATGCTGTGGGCTGCGCCCTCCCCACACCTCGCCCCACGGCACACCTGCTTGCCTGCTGACAGAGCGGCCACGGAGGTGTGTGCAGGTCATGTTTGGCAACCGTCTGGGCGAGTCGTCCCTCAGGGTCCACCGGCTGCCGCTGGAGACCTTCCAGAGCTGGATGTTCCTGAGCAAAGACTCCCTGTACCAGGAAGAGGTGGTGGAGAACGGCACCGCCATCCTGCACTTCACCTGCGCGCAGGGCACCCCCTACAAGGACTACCTGGCAAAGGCGCTGGGCACCTTCAAAGACGCCCGCACGGGCTACTACTGCTCCCCTCAGCCCACTCTTGAGGTGGACATACTGGCCTGGCGGGGCACCGTCGAGCAGCTGGCGGCCCGCCTGGCCTTTGCCATCCATGCCGCCAAGGCGACAGGGCGGGCCCTGGTGTTGGGCAAGTGGGCCTGGGTGGAGCACGAGGCCCAGACCCACCGCCTGCCCTTCATCCGGGTCTTCAGCCTGCTGGCGGGCCCGATCCGCTCGGTCCAGGTCAGGAGTAAGGCAGCGCATGGGATGAGCTGAGCTAAGGTGCCGCCGTGATGGCTTACTGGCGGCTAGAAGGTGGTCCCTGCTGCCTCACATCGCCCACCTGCTCTGCTGCAGATTCGTGAGTACAAGTACCACGTCCACCAGGCAAGGCAGTGTGGCGGCGACCTGCGCTCCCGCCCCATCAGGGCCGTCTACCTGCCGCCCGCCCCGCCCACCCAGGAGACTGTGGAGGCCCTGGCCCGCGACCGGCGCCCCAGGCTGGTCCTGGCCCTGCACGAAGGCACCGACGCCAGCGCCAGGGAGGCATACGAGCAGCCGCACACATGCGACCTCGCGAAAGTGATCCGCGGGTGGGAGTGCCTGGAGGACTGCCCCTGACCTGCTTCAGTTCCCCAGCCCAGACTGTACGGCCGCTTTCTTCTGCCCAAACTTCTCTACAAACATCGAGTAGGGTGCATGCCTCCTTTATTTATCTGACGCAGTGTTGGCTGACCTCACTCTTCCTCCAAACCACCGATTCATTGTAGCGACAGACTTGTACAGGGCGGGCTCCAGGGCTGCTGCTGATGCTGCTGATGCTGCTGCTGCTGCTGCTGCTGCTGCTGCTGCTGACAGCAGCAGAAGGAGGAAGATCAGGGAAGCGAGGCCGGCAGCAGCGCCCCGCACGATATGCTGGCCCATTGGCTGGCCCAGGGCTGAGGAGATGGGAGCGCCGCGTGAGGCAGCGCGCCCGCCGCCGGCGATGCAGACCTGGCCCTGCTGGCAGGGCGCCGGCGCGGCGCCGGCGCCTCCCGACCGCGCAGTCGCAGTATCACAATCACTCATAATCAATGAATAATAGGATTCTCAGGATCGAGTCACACAAAAATTGACAGAGAGGCGCCGTCGCGTCACTCAGCCGAGTTCCCTGCCGCTCAGTCACAGCCCGCCAGCTGCGGCGGCACGCCCTGCTCCGAGGACAACACCTGCGTGGGGTCGTACTTGCGCTTGGCCGCCACCAGGCGGCACAGGTTGCTGCCAAAGTACATCTCCAGGGCGCGCCGGCGGGGCTGGTAGCTGTCCGAGGCGTAATTTTGGTAGGCCTGCCCGCTCAGGAACGAGGCCCAGTGATCGCCGTACAGCTCGTCCAGCCAGGCCTGGGCCGCCTCGGCATTGCCGGCCTCCGACAGGAAGAAAGTGTCCACGACCAGGTCGAAGCCCACGCTGCGGTGCACGTAGGCGGTGGCATCCGCCTCCACGTCGACAATGGCGCCTGCGGCAGGGGCAGGCGCGCCCAGCGGCGCACCGCGTGTGGCGGTGAGTGGCGTGCGGCGGGGCGCGCCAAGGATCCCCTCCTGCGCCTTCCTGCTTCATATCGAGGCGGTAAGCGCACCGCAGCGCAGCCCAGCGCAGCAGGCGCAGACGGAACACACAGCACTTTGCAGTGCAACCCCTACACCGCAGCGCAGCAGGCACAGCGCAGGGTCCGCCCTCCACTCACCTTCCACCCCCTCGAAGTATGCGTAAGTGAAGGCCGACCCTGAGTAGTTGTTGGGGAACGCGGGCCAGCTGAGCCAGCCGTCTACAATGCCCCGCATCTGCTCCAGGGTCAGCCGCCAGGCCACGTACTGCCCCAGCTTGAGCTCCCACAGCGCGGGCTGCACCCCGATGGGCGGCGACGCATCGTGGATGGTGTCTTCCAAGGCGTCCTGCCGAGGGAGGGCACCAAGGGGAGCTGAGGGCAGCTGAGGGCGCATGCTAGCTGCTTGGCTGGGATGGGTCCGGAGGCTGCAGCTGGCGGGCGCGCTGCCAACAGCCCGCTACCAGCACACCCGGCACACGCAGCCCCCCTCCCTCGCCACGCTGCCGCCACCCGCTCACCATCAGGTCTTCCAGCTGGGCGGCGGGGATGCGCTGCATGGCAGAGCTCTGCGGCCGCAGCTTCTCCAGAGGGCGCACCAGACGCTTCAGCTCTGCCTCCGCGCCAGGCCCTTCATTGGTGTAGATCACATACATGACCAGCAGCTGCTGCCCCGTGCTCTTGTCCGCGTAAAAGTGCGGGTACAGGCTGAGGGCGCGGGGCGGCTTGTTCAGGTAGCGGTCCTGCCACGTCAGCAGCACCTCGGCCGCCCGCCGCGGGCTGGCGGCGGCGTCCCAGGTGGCGTTGTAGGTCAGCACCTCCACCTGAGGGAACACCCTGCAGGAGGGGGCCAGGTGACAGCTGGTGTCATGCTGTGCATGCAGCCGATGGGCGGCTGCTGAGGATGGGCCTGCGCCGCTGCCTGACCACATGCACACACGCCGCTCCCAAGGCGCACTTGTAGGTGAGGCCAGTCAGGACGCCAAAGTTCTGGTGGCCGCCGCCTCGCATCGCCCTGCGTGCAGGAGCAGGCGGGCCCTTGAGGTCATGCCGCCATTGGCGAGGCGCCTGCATCCCTCCCTTCCCCACCGTACCACAACACACCTTGCCCCAGGCCAGGGCCCTTCCTCACCAGAAGAGGTCGGCATACTCGCCCGTCTCGTTCGCCACCACCAGGCTGCCGTCTGCCAGCGCCACAGTGTACGACACCACATTGTCCACGCCAAGCCCCTTGCTCTTGGACAGCTTGCCCCAGCCGCCGCCCAGGGTGTACCCTGCGATGCCTGCCAGGGGCAAAGGCAGACGCCACCTGGCTGCTGGCTTCCCCTGATCATCACCACCACCGTCATCACACACACAATCACACGCACGTGCCTTCCGCGGCTCACCGACATCGGCGCAGTCCCCTTGCAGCGCCGCCATGCCGTGCGGCTCTAGCGCGGCAGTCAGGTCGCTGAAGCGCACGCCCGCCTCCAGCACCGCCTCGCCCCGCTCGGGCAGCACGTTGATCTGCGGGCAGAGGGGCCCGGCCAGCAAGGGTGCTGGTAAGCTCCATCAGCAAAGAGAGCCTGTCAGGGTGCCCTGCTGACTGCTGGCTTGCTCATGGCTGGCCCCGCAGCACACGCCACGCACAAGCCGTGTGCCACGTGCCCGCGCCTCGCCGCCACCACACCTGCGTCATGCCCGACACATCCACCACCACGCCGCCCTCGCAGATGGAGGCGCCGATGGAGTCGTGCCCGCCGGCCCGCGGGCACAGCGGCAGGCGCCGCTGCGCGGCAAACGCCACGGCGGCCGCCACATCCTGCCCGCTGCTGCAGTACACCACCATCAGCGGCTGGCGGTAGTTGTACATCATGTTTACGTTTTGGGTGAGGTTGCGAGCGTGGGCATACTGCGGGCAAGGGAAGGGAGGACCGCGGCTCGCTGGGCGGGTGTTCGCAGGGAGCAGCACGGCGGTGCGGCGGCAGCCAACGTCGGGTGGTGGCGGGTGGAAGGGGAGTTGGCTGAGGGCGGCCGCCCACCTGCGGCTGCCCCAACAGCACCACTGTGCCTGCTAGAGAGTTGATGAAGAGCATGACGTCTGCCTCTGTTGCATTGAGCTGGGAGTAGAGGGCTTCATAGGCAGGGAAGGCCGCTTCGGCAGCCTCGTCCCCAGCTAGCAGCCAGCGGCGGCCAGCTGCTTGTGGGCGCCCGCCGTGGTGGCCTGCAGCACACATAAAGAAACACAGCAGCAGTTTGAAGCGACTGAAACAGAGCAGCAATGCCAAGCGAGGGATGCCAGACCGTTGACAGAGCAAGAGGTGGCCAAGCGGCACCCCGCCAGCAGCGGGCCCAGCGGCAGGCGGCACGCACCCAGGGACTTTGCGCCAGGGTGTCCGGAGGACCCCCTAGCCTCTGCAGAGAGTCCCAAGAGCACGGCGAGCAGGCCACAGGAGACAACATGGTGTCGGATGTGCCTGCCCATGGTGCTGCAGTCGCTTCGTCGCTCGCCCTGCGTTAGGGTACGCCGTGCAAGCAAAATGCACGCGCAAGTGCGCGCCATTGGGGGGTATCTGCGCTCCGCTCCGGCTGCCCCTGCTGCGCCACGCCACAGCAGGCTGGGTTTTCGCCTGAAAACCGCAGCTTGCAATCCAGCTGTGCCCCTACGGAGTGTCTGAGGTGGTACCAGCACCCAGAGAAGGGTCTCTGCTGCAGCGGTGGCAGCGGCGGCGGTCCCCGCCGGTGAGGTGCCGGCGGCGGAGGTGCACAGCAGCGGCCTGGGCAGGCGGCAGGACAGGTGCAGGGGCTGATGAGAGCCAGATCTAGTACATGTGACCTGTTTACCCTGGAGAAGAACCCACTGCGGCGGCGAAGACCTGACGCAACGCCCCGAAGGCAAGAGGCCCCCTTGGACAGGGCTCTCCCTCTCCATTCCGCTCCTGGCTACACATAGGCAATGCATTGCACGATGCTAGAAGTTTGAGTCAGGACAGGAAAAAAGGCCTTTTGCGCCTTTGGTACTGCTTCTGCTCGGCGATGTGCTCATTCAATGCAGACTTCTCCTGTTCACCAGGAGTGAGGGATGGCTGGGAACCATGAGTGCCAGCAGCCCACCAACCGCTGGGAGGGCAGTGGCGGTGCCCCCCAGGCCCCCTCCACTCCCCACCAGACCGAGGTCGCCAGCCACTTTGCCTGCCTCGGCTGGGCTAGCGCCGCTGCCGGGTTGCTGAGCGAGATTGGGAGCGCCCCCTGCAGCCCGAGGGCACCGGGCACCGGCGCCGCCACCTCTCGTGCCGCCGATGGCTGGATTGCTGGTGTAGCCGAACCAGAACGCGGAGGTGGCAGCAGCGAGCCTGTGCTGGCACAGGGCTTGAGGATGCAGAAGCACTTGGTGTTCACGGACAAGCAGGCAAGAGCACGCCGGCTTCTCTGTCGCTCGCCTCGCACCTGTGGCCCGCCTGCCAGGCCAGCACTGGCCCTCCGACTGACCCAGCTTTTCGTCCTGCCCGCAGGTGGAGAAGGCATTCAGGCTGCACCTGACGCGCTGCTGCCGGCTTGGGGAGCTGAGCCTGGTGGGGCTGCAGGTGCGGCTGGGAGCCGGGCTGGGTTGGGCTGCTGCACAAAGAGCCTCATTGAGGTGCCCACACCTACGCTTTTGTGCAGCTGCCGCTGGCTAGTGTGCCTGGAATCTGACTGTGCACATCTTCCTGCCCCGCTGCAGATCATTGGCTGGCTGGCGGCTGCGGGCCGCGCATCGCAGGTGCGAGCAGGCGTGGCGATCGTGGCTCGCATCATGACGCTGGCGCTGCTGCCCTCGCTGGCGCACCTGGCCCTGCTCCTGTATGCCCCCACCGCCTACCGCCACCACAGGTTGGTGACAAGCAAGTGGAGTGGGACGGACACTGTTCAGGAGGGCGCCTGGTTTTCATGGCACCTGGCATTCATGGGGTTGTGCCTCTGTTCCCTGGCGCAGAGAGTATCTCAGCGTGGCGCTGCGTGCGCCCTACGGCGCGTGGCTGATGTTCGCCCCGGTGGGCGCCCTGCAGGCCAGCAAGCACATGCACACAGGGCGTGCATGGGGCATGGCAGGTAGCCTGCAGGGCGCCTGCTTGCTCCGGGGGGCAGCCATCTCGTGCATGGGAACCAGGCTGACTTGTTGTTCTCTCGCATCTCTCCCTCTTCTTGCGTGGGGCTGTGCAGGATGCGCCGGTGCTGGGCATGGACGGCGCCATGATTCACTGGGGCCTGCCCCACAGCGCCAAGCTGATGCTGATGGCGGTGAGGCTGCCCTGGCTGCATGCTTTGAGGCTTTTCTCGCAGCTCCATCCATGCGCACCAATCTGCTGGCGTTCACAAGAGACATCCCATGCTCGTCCACCTCCCTGTCTGCCTGCAGCTCTGCCAGCTGGTGGTGAGCCCGCTGCTCTCCTGCCTGCCGTTCAGCTGGAGCTATGCCTACTCCTCTGGCCTGCTGGCGCTGTGGATGTGGCGCGCCGTGGGCGGCCCCGCTGCGGGCTTCGCAATCAAGCTGGCTCTGGTGACGGCTTACGCCGTACCGCTGGTGGCGCTGCACCGCCAAGAGGTGCAGGAGCGTACCGCCTTTGCCGTTCGCCACCTGCAGCAGGGCGGCGCCACTGAGAGTGGCAGAACGGTCACCACGGTGGATGTGCGGCGGCTGCAGGCCTGGGTGGCGGCAGACCCGTTTGCGCCGCTCGACCTGCTGCTGATGGCCGCCCTGGGGGCCTGCTGCGCCTTCCGATAGGCCACCCGGTGTCGGCGCTCAGTCGCTCTTGGTGCACTGTGCGGTGCCACTGGCACGCGAAGGCCCATGCTTGCATTTTGCAGTGCCAGCAATGTGAGCTGTTGTCCTCTGCTGTGCTGGCTTCAGCTGGGGAGAGAAGTGCAGAACATGAGGCGGCGGCAGCCGCTGAGAACCCGCCCGCCTGGAGCATCCAGCAGCGCCTGGCTCCACCAGTTGGCAGAGTGCTGCCCTCGTCCTCTTCCCTCAACTGAGCCAATTCCCCAATCACCTGAAGCGAGCTATGGAGGCCACCAACAAGCAGCTTTCCCAGAAGGGCCAGCGCCTGGCCCCCGCTCCCAAGGAGGCGAGGCAAGAGGTTGATGCCACCCCGGGCGCGCCGCCCGGTGGCTTCTGGGCCGAGAGCGCGAGACACGAGAGACCGCCTGAGAGGCACGGGGAACTTGAGACGGCTCTGCCTGCGCAGCGGTGCTGTGTGCTCCCTTGTATCTGGCCGATCAGTGGCTCTCCATAAGGACGCGGCTGCCCCCTCGCAGGCCCCGTGGGCTCCTATGCCAAGGGCGGCAGCGAGCTGGGCATGACGGCTGGGATGGGGGCAGAGGGCGGCGCGCCGCCCGCGCCTGGCGCCCAGCCCGACGTGAAGGGCCGCCTGGCTCAGGTGGGTGCCTGGCGGGCTGCGCGGAGGATGTGCCGTGGAGCTCCGCTTTGCCTGCCTGGATGGCGGCTGCGTTGCCAACCAGCCTGTGCACCCATGCCCTGCCCTGCCCTGCCCTGCCCTGCCCTGCCCTGCCCTGCTCGCTGCTGTTCTCCCACCAGGAGACGACTGGCGGCGAGGGCGGCTACGCGCCGCCGCCGTCCTACCAGCCCGGCACGCCCCAGAAGGGCGCCCAGGTGAGCAGGCGCCCAGCACTGCGATGATCGCACAGGGCCGCCTGCTGGCTTCAGCTGCTGTGAGAGGTCTGGGCTGAGGACCTGCCTCCCCGTGCTCCGCTGGCAGGCGCCGCAGGTCCCGCTGGCCGGCGCCCCCGGCATGGCCGCCCCTGTGGGCACCGTGCCAACCAGGTGACTGGCTGGCACCATGCTTGTGTGGGCTTAAAGTCTGGTAAAGCAAGAACTAGCTTGCAACATAGACTCCCCGCCGAAACGGGACGGGAACCGGGCGAAAGCAGAGAAAGCAATAAAACAGGGGTGGAGCAAGGCGACATGCAACGCAAGCAGCTGACAGGGCACGCATCGAAACGTGTGTATGACTGGCAAAGTGGCATGGCGCATTGGGGAGAAACGCAACGGTACGGGAGCATGGGCTGGCCAAACGGCAGTGCGGAACGCTAGGTCACTAGAAAAGCAGGGAAAGGCGCACTATGTATGCAATGAGGGCAGCCCCGGCTCGAGGCCGTTGAGAAAGCAGTGGGCGGGAGGGGGGAGGCCCCGGTGTGGGCGGGCCCCATCGAGGGGGGATGGGGCGGGCAAGCGGCCAGATGGGGCGGGGCGCGGGCGGCAGTAGAGTCCTGCGGCTGGGTGGGATATAGGGCAATGAGCGTTGAGCAGTGTGCGATGAGCAATGAGCAATGAGCAGTGAGCAGCCCCTCCCTAAACAAAGTGAAGCGCAGGACGGGGTCCGGTGGATGGGAGGCAAGGAAACGCGGGGGGTTGCCACGTGCGCTACCGCCGCCGCCGCAGGCAGCACCCCTGCGGCGGCGGCAGCGGCAGCAAGCCGTGGACCCAAACGCCGTGCCGCCGCCGCCGCAGGCAGCACTCCTGCGACGGCGGCGGCAGCAAGCCGTGGACCGAAACGCCGTGCCGCCGAGTCCCGTGGCTGTGGCCTTCTGGCAGGAAACTACGGCCGCAGCTCGGCAGCACGGGGGCGTCGCAGCGTGCCGCCGCCGCCGCGCTGCCCCCCGGGCACGGCGGCGGCGGCGGCAGCAAGCTTGGGCCCAAACGCCGTGCCGCCGAGTCCCGTGGCTTGCGACCGTAGACCGTGGGCCGGAAACTGCGGCCGCAGCTCGGCGGCACGTGGTTCTGTTCAAATCGCCAAGCGTGCAGCAGCGCCGAACCACGCTTCCCGGCCTCGGCGCATGCCTTCAGGGGCCCCCTATCGCTGGGCACACCCCTCCAACACCGAACATGCGCCCGGGGGGGGGAGGGCGGCCCGGGTTGCCCAGGCCAAAGTGGGCCGCCCTCGAGCAAGAGGCGGCCGGTCTGTGTGCTGAATGAAGCTTTGTAGGCTAGTAATGCCGCGCATCCAGCGCTGGACATGCATTGCACGCACCTCTGCGCCGTGCCCTGCTGACATGTTGTGGTGTGCTAACTACCATGCAGTGGCGCTGGTGCTGGCGA